GATTGTATTAGGTACTTATGTAGTTCATCCTTCCTTAATGGGCCCACTAAGTACAGAACTAGAATTCATTCTGGGATATCCACCTCTTATGGACTCTCAAGGATTGCAGAGTTTGCAACATTATGAGGTTGTTAATATCTTCTGTATTTCCAAGATTAGAAAACAAAGGCTGAAAGAAATTGAGTGAGTGAAAAGGGAAGGTATCCCCTCTTCCCTCCCTACTCCCTGGGAATTATTTTTGCTTTTTAAGGTAGAAAATCAATTCTCTTTACATAGATTTGATCCTAATCGCCAACCACTAATGAAACACATTTTCTAGTAGGGATGATAAATTTGTACTGATACATACTCAACCGTTTTTGCTGCCAGTATGTTTCACACAGGACCTTTAACTCCTTATACTAAACTAGCCAGCCATAGATTGGCAATTCTATTTAAAAATTGACAGTTTGTCTTGGGGAAAACCCAACTCCATAGGTTGTGTGATGAAAGTAATGTTTCAACTTCACCCTTAACATTTTGAATTTAAAAATTTATTGAACTATAATCCACATACCATAAAGTTCACCTTTTTGAAGGTCAAGGAAGTGGTTTTTAGTATATTCACAGACTTGTGCAACCATCACAACTATTTTATTTCAGAACATTTCATTGCTCAAAAAAGATCCATACCTGGAGCGTCTGGGTGGCTCAGTAGGTTAAGTGTCTGCCTTTGGCTCAGGTCATGATCCCAGGGTCCTGGGATCCAGCCCGCGTTGGTTCCCTGCTCCGTGGTGTTGGGGTGGGGGGGAGTCTGCTTCTGCCTCTCCCTCTGTCCCTCTCCCCTGCCCTACCCCCTTGTGCTCTTTCATGCGCTCTCTCTTTCTCTCTCAAATAAGTAAAATCTTTAAAAAAAATCCATACCCATTAGCAGTCACTCCCCTTTTCACTTTCTTCCTCCAGCCCTTGGCAGCTGCTAATTTCCTTTCTGTCTCTATGGATTTGCCTATTCTGGACATTTCATGATAAAAGGAATCATACAATAAGTGTCTTTTGTGTCTGGCTTCTTTCACTTAGCATAATATTTTCAAGCTTCCTCCCGTGTTGTAGTATGTATCAGAATTTCATTCCTTTTTATGCCTGAAGAATATTCCGTTGTATTGGATATATCACGTTTTATTTATCCATTCATCGCTTTTAAAATTTTTTTTATTCGAGAGAGAGAAAGAAAGTGAGTATGAGTCAGGGGAGGGGCAGAGAGAGAGGGAGAAGCAGACTCCCCGATGAGCAGGGAGCCCAATGCGGGGCTCAATCCCAGGACTCCAGGATCATGACCTGAGCCGAAGGCAGACACTTAACTGACTGAGCCACCCAGGTGCCCCTATCCATTCGTCACTTGATGGACATTCGTGCAAAGCTCTAAACCCAGTATGATAATTCCCAAGTTGGATCTTTTGTTTTTTTGTAGTATATATTCTCCTAAGATCTCATCTGTTCTTAGAGTTCTTGTTCTTATATGGTGGAGATGATTCTAATTCTGATTTTCAGCCCTTTGTCTCTGCTATTAGTCATTTGTATATCTACCTCACCCCCAAAAATTGAACTTTATGTCCCCCCAGACTAACTTCCCTAATACTATGAAGAGTGATTGGAGGATAAGATGCTGAGGGAAAGGAGACCAGTTAAATTGCCTAAAGCAATCTCCCCCAAATGAGGAAAGCCTAGCCATGAGGGGTGGTCACAGGGACAGAAAAGGAGGCAGAAATCAAGGGGTATTTTAGGAGAGTCAGAAGGGCCCTGTCCTTCACCAGAGGTGGATGGTAAACATACAGAAGTGATTTCGATTTTTGAGGGGAAGGCATGGGGAACTAGGAGAATTGGAAAACAGCACAAATGGTGGGGCCTCTATGTAAGAGCAAAGCTGGGAGAAGCTCTTTTAGAGATGATAAAATGAGTTTTGGATGGTTGAGTTTAAACTGATGTCAAGGCATGTAAACAGAGATGACTTACAGCAGCTGGAAGTGCTGGGAAAGCTCCTCTGGAATAAAAAAAGAAATCTGACCAGTACCAGCCTGGAAATGGTCATTGAAGCTGTGAGACATGATTGGCAATACCAGATTTTGGAGATCCATTTAGTGTAGTGCTTTTAATCTTTGGCTACTTTTCCAATGTCAGATGAAAGGGAACATGGAAACATGAAGGCAGAGCTGCTGTGGTTCACAGGGAGTGAAGAGGTGACAGACGAACTCAGTCCTCCAACCTCTCCTTTGCCTCTGAACCCTTCTGTGCTACAGATGATGAAAAGGCCCTGAGAATGAGGCGATTTGCCTTAGCATCATATCAGTGGCAGAACCAGAACCGGAACCCAGTGACTAGCTTTTCCCTTAGGGCTTAGTTTAGAACTTTAGAAACTTCTAAAGGAAAGCTCAAAAACAGTTTTCATATTTCTTACTGTTCCTTCTCTAGAACCCAAGTCACTAGCTTCCCTGCATGCGATGTAGGGAACATAGCGCCCACAGACTCTTGGTCTTGATGTCCCTCTCCTGGTTCTCCTACCTCTCAGATGGCTCCTTACCAGGTTTCACAGGCCCTTCTTATGCCTGTGCTTTTCACAGTCCACTCGCAAGTTGTCATCCACACTCAGAACTTTGTCCTAGTTTAAATAGCTGATGACTCCTAAATCAGTCTCCAGCCTGAACATCTGAGTTTGAGGCTTAGGACCAACTGCTTAGTGGACATCTCCACCTGGATGTTCTAATAACATGTCTAGCCATGTTTGGTACCACTGTTAGATACAACTTAATGCCAATGAACTTGCAAATCTAAATGAAATGGGTGACTTTTTTTGGCAGATTATAAGTGGCCAATATTGACTCAGGAACCTTAATAGGCTAATAAACATAGCAGAAATTAAAAGGTTATTATCTTCCTGCTATAAAGCCAGGTCCAGCTGGTCTGTTAAACCTTCAAAAAAACCATAATTGCTACGTATTTTCCCCTACATTTTTATTATGAACATTTTATAATTTGAAGTTTTATAGTTCAATACTTTTAGAAAGTCTTAAAATAGTACCATGAACAGCTATATATTCTCCTCTTAGATTTAATAAATTTGCCACATTTGCTCTATAAGCACATATTTTTTTTGCCTACCATTTGCAAGTCAGACATTCTGACACTTTACCCCTAAATACTTCAGCATGCATCTTCTCAGGGTAAAAACATTGGCATAATCACAAAATTCATCAAAGCATCAAATATCCAGTTCATACTTGAATGTCTCTATTCCAAAAATGTTTTTAGAGTATCCTTTTAAAAACTAGGATCCTGGGGCGCCTGGGTGGCTCAGTCGTTAAGTGTCTGCCTTCAGCTCAGGTCATGATCCTGGAGTCCCAGGATCAAGTCCCGCATCAGGCTCCCTGCTCGGCGGGAAGCCTGCTTCTCCCTCTCCCACTCCCCCTGCTTGTGTTCCCTCTCTCACTGTGTCTCTCTGTCAAATAAATAAAATCTTAAAAAAAAAATAAAAATAAAAAAAATAAAAACTAGGATCCACTTCAATAAACTACTCCAGAGCATTGAAAAGGATAGCAAGAAAAAAAAAAAAAAGGATAGCAAGCTTTTATTCATTTTATGATTTTTCATCCCCAAACCTGAAAAAAAAAAAACACACAAACACATGAAACACAAAAATCAAAAAGCAATCCGGGGCAAGTGGGTGGCTCAGTCTGTTAAGCGTCCGCCTTTGGCTCAGGTCATGATCTCAGGAATCTTGCTCAGCAAGGTGTCTCCTTCTCCCTATCCCTCTGCCCCACCCCCAACCCCCACACTCACTCTCTCAAATACATAAAATCTTTTTAAAAAATCAAAAAGCGGGCGCCTGGGTGGCTCAGTTGGTTAAGCGACTGCCTTCAGCTCAGGTCATGATCCCAGGGTCCTGGGATCGAGCCCCACATGGGGCTCCCTGCTCCGCGGGAAGCTTGCTTCTCCCTCTCCCACTCCCCCTGCTTGTGTTCCCTCTCTCGCTGTGTCTCTCTGTCAAATAAATAAAATCTTAAAAAAAAATCAAAAAGCAATCCTAATAAATATAAATGCAAAAGTCCTAACAATATTAGGGTATTTCAGTAAGAGTGAGTAAGGGACAGGCGGGGCTAGGTAGAGAGAGATAGGTATGGGGCTATGGGATCAGGCTCACAGAAATCCCCAAAACGCTGAGGTGTAAGGACACCAGAGATAAGGGAACAAACCAGACCACCCTGCCCTAGGCGTGTGGAGGGAGTGTCTTTTTTATAATAGTCACCTGTGACCAACAAAGAATAACCAGACCCTAACAAAGAAGCCATTAAAAATGTTATCGCTAGTCCCTTACTCAAGCCAAGACATCACAAGAATGATAAGGCCACAAGCTGCCTGGTCAGTTCTAAAAAAAAAGACTGTCAGTGGAGGCCCTCCTTGGCAACCCTGTCGGGACCCCTCTCACTCCTAAAAGCTTTTTTCCTGTATCCTTGCTTAATAAACTTCTATCGCTTTACTCACTCTCCTTTGTCCGCGAGATTCATTCATTCTCCGATTCCGTGAGACAAAGAGAAACCTAGCTTTCCCGCTTCAAGTGGACTGAACTTTTGAGGATCCTGTGTTTGAACTGTTTCTCTTTTCCCCTCCCCCATGACGCAGCAGCCTTGCGGTCAGAGCGCACTGATGTCTTGAGTGATTAAACCAACCAACCTAGGTAATTCCATCCCCGTCACAGCGACTTGTTCAAGTAGCCCACGGCAATCAGCAAATACGGTATTATTCCCGGCCAGAGGTGATCTAACCAGCAAGGGGGTCAGTCCTTCTGCCAAGAATCGGAGAGGCCGATCGTTAAACACCACCCCAAATTAGGTCGCCCACCTTGGTCCCTTTGCCTTTTGAGGCATTACTTTTTCTGGATTGTGTTGTTATTCGTCGTTTCTCCTTGGTTCATCCTAGTGCAAACAGCGAAGACTAACAGGTGTTGGAGGAGAGCAGCAAAGAAGACACGCTCTGGGCGGAGCCGGGAGGCGGGGTGTGGATGGAGCCCAGGCCCCGCCCCCTCCTGCGCGCGGCTCTGCCCCGCCCCGCGCCGTGTCGCCGCTCTCGGTCCGGAGACTTCCGCTGGGGCCGCGCCACCGATGGTGCTACCTGGGAGAGCAATGGCCAGTAAGTAGCGCGGCGGCCCGAACTCAGGCATAGGACCGGGAGGCCTAGGTTGCGGAGCCGGCGGCGGGTCTCCGCGGCTCAGCCCCTCGCCTCCGCGCCGTGTCCCCGCCGCGCCCCAGGCCTTCCCCGGCCCGCCGTTCGCGGGACTGGGGCCTCGGGCGTCTTGGCGGCGGAGCGCGGCCCTGCGCCCTCCCGGGGATTCCAGGCTTCCGGCAGGGCCGGCGCGGCCGCGGGAGCGCGGGGCCTCCCGGCCAGAAGGGCCCGCGCCTTGCTCCTCGCTGGGCTCCTGCGTCCCGCCCGGTGCTTCTAGGTGCATTCGGGGGCCGCCCCTTGCGAGTTCACCTGCGCGGGAAGAGGCAGGTAGACGGGTGATCACTTAAAATCCAAGTTCCGGGGCGCCTGGGTGGCTCAGTTGGTTAAGCGACTGCCTTCGGCTCAGGTCATGATCCTGGAGTCCCGGGATCGAGTCCCACATCGGGCTCCCTGCTCGGCGGGGAGTCTGCTTCTCCCTCTGACCCTCCTCCCTCTCATGCTCTCTGTCTCTCTCTCTGTCTCAAATAAATAAATAAATAAATAAATAAAATCTTTAAAAAAAAAAAAAAAGACTTTAAAATCCCAAGTTCCGCACCCCCTTTTTCCCTGCGCCAACTCGAAGACTGCACTTTCAGTAAAGCCTTTCAGTGATTATGATACTTCTGCTAGTGTGGGAACCTCTGTCTTGTGGGATTCTTGGAGGCTCTTAGGTTTTGCATTAGCGCTACTATCCAGTGGGGTCGCTTTCACTCTCTTCACAGATTGATTTTTGGACTTGGGTTTTGCAAAGGCATCAACCCTAATTATTTGTGGTTGGAACCCTGTCACGTGAAAATGAAGCATCTGTTTTCTTTCATTTGGGCTGGGTGGTCAGAGGACTGGTTAACTTGCCCCATGTTGCACCACCCCACCCCCCACACCCAGTGGGGAATGCTCTCTTCTGGACAAGAAAACTGGACAAACTGTTTCTGCATCTGGACATTGAGCTTTCAGGTTAGGTATTACATGTTCCTTACACATCCCTGTCCTGGATCGGCCCCAGGGGCACGTTTCTAGCGATCTCTGACTCCAGGCCTTTGCCAGATTCTTTTACAGGAGGCTTTGGAGTGCTCTGGACTCATAGTCTGGAGACCTGGATTGTTACAGTTTTGCCTCAGCCCATGTCAACAAGTCATTTAATCTCTCTGAACCTCAGTTTCCTGACTTGTAAAATGGGCATAAACTGCCCCTGCTGAGTCTTGGGAGGCTCCCATGAGATGGTAAGGTTTGTGGAAGTGCTGTTTTTCATCTTAACCTGCCAGAGCTCAGTGCAAGTCGGGGGCTGAAGCAATGTTCAGGACCGGGGTATGGAAGTCCTTGTACACCCCTCCCTCTGCGTGTGGCCGGTATCTTTGAAGACGCAGGGCATGACAGAGGCTGGTGGACTTGAGAGCTGTGGTTCCTGGTGGGGTTGAGGGTGGTGTCTGATTTGTGTGAGGAACGTTTTCAAGTTACATGACCTCCCCGCAACCCACCCAAAAACGAACAAATGAAGTTCCCATCCTGCTTTACAGGTCTAGATTTTGGCTCGGATTTGCCACTGACTTGTTCACTGATCCTGTGCAGCTTCCCCCCTGCAATCCCCTTGCTTCCTCATCTACCGAATAGTGTTAAGGACGCCTCAGATGCTCGTGTGCGTAAAGGGCCTGGCACATTCCTTACACTTTTTCCCAAGTTGGTCCCTTCACTTAGATATTTTTTATCCTTTTTTTTTCCTTTGGTCAGTCTTCCATTTTTAGATTCTGATAAATATTAGAGCAGCCAAGGACCTTAAAAATGATTGTATTTTCATTTTACAGCTGAGGCGATGAAGTGACTAGTATTGTTTTCAGCATCAAGAAACCCCTCACTGGTGGCCTTTCCCTGCCTCAGCCCCTCAGAGGAGGGGGTGATTTGCAGAATGTCAGGCAGTCCCCAGCCTGGATCAGGACAGCTGCCTTTCTGGGTAGGATGAGGGAGAGGGGAATCTGACAGTTACAGTGTTGACTTTCAGTGGGTCTGTAGGATGGTCTGGTGACACCTAAAGGTATCTGTTTGCTCCCAAGTAATCCCAGCTTTGGTTTTTCCTGTTTTCGTTTCCTTCATTTTCACTCAGATTCTGAAACTCCTCAAGTGGCATTCAGGGTTAAATTGAGCTCTTCTCACTATATTTAGGACAAACCAAGGAGTGGAACATCTGAGTTTTCCTACTTTTAGGGTTACCACTTAGCCAGAGAGGCCTTCACAGGTAAGGGTCTGTCAGTGTTGCTTTTTCGGGGGACATTTGCACCATTGTAGGCGACACCCAGGGGGAGAACTCTAATGGTTTTCAGGTTCTAGAGCTTTTCAGATTTCTAGAGCAGAGGTGGGGTAGGGAAGCCAGGGAAGGCCATTACTGATAATTCCTGAAGTTTTGCAGAGCTTCATGGGTTACCACGTGCTTTGGATCCTTTAATGTCCCCTTCCATCACACCATGAGCGAAAACTGCATCAGTTAGGGTCCAGACAGGACACAGAAACCACACCAGTCACTTGAACAGGCAAAATTTTGTATGAAGAATGATTAACCAGTAGGTGATTAAGAGCTACAAGAGAACTCTAAAGAATATAGGAGAAGCACATGTGGGGTGTAGCTATTACCTCAAGGAGGGAATAAGCCTGGAAGAGCCCCTGACCTCCTTGGCGGACAACATTTCTTGTTGGCCACATAATTGGTGGGACTCAGTCTGTGATGGAAACGTGGAGCCCCTTACCCAGGTAGCAGGAAGAAGCACTGCTAGTTTTTCCTTCCACAGTCTCTCTCTCAACCACTCGTGGCGTTTTTTATTTGCTACTTACTGTTGTGCTCTCTGGGGCACGGGAATATTCATGGGGTGAGTGCAAAATCTCACAGGTGCCCGGTGGGCCCTGCCCCGGGATAAGCCCTGGTGCAGCTCATCGGCTGCCAACCCCCCCCACCCCCGCCAGCAGCTGGGCCCGGGACACCAGGTCCCAGCTGGTGGGGGGGGAGCAGAGACAGGTGTCTCCCCTTCCCACGGGCCCGCTGCCCCACTTCACGGCGAGTGGGTGATTTCCGAGGGATTTCACCTGCACTGAGATGTGCTCAGTACTCAGGTCAGGGGTAGGTTGAGTCCCAAGATCAAACAGTAAGGGATAATTCCATGTTCAGACTCAGTCTCCTTCTTTCAAGCCGCGGTCTCATTAGTATGTAAGAAGCTGGCCCTGCCCACCCCACTGAGGCTCTCGTGCCGGTGGGAGCGTGACCCGGGGTGGCGTTCTCTTCCAGGGTTTCTCAGCCTCGGCATCAGTCACATTTCGGGTTGGATCGTTCTTTATTGTGAGGGACTGTCCTGTGGCCTCTGGCATGCTGAGCAGCGTCCCTGACTTCTGCCCATTAGGTGCTAGGAGCACCCCAACAGTTGTGCCCATCCAAATGTCTCCGTTGTCACATGTCCCTGGGGGTCGGAATTGCCCTCCGGTTGAGAATTGCTCTGATTCAGCAGTCAGATCTTCTGACAGTTTTCTCTCCTCTTCATCCTCAGCTTTCCGCCTGGCCCTCATCCAGCTTCAGGTTTCTTCCATCAAATCAGACAACGTCACTCGAGCCTGTGGCCTCATCCGGGAGGCAGCAACACAAGGAGCCCAAATCGTTTCTCTGCCAGTAAGTATGGAGGCGGAGAGGGTCACCTCCTTCTGGGAGCTCTTGACCGACTAGAATACGGCCTGCATCCAGGGGTCCAGCGTATTCTGGGGAATGGGAGATTTCGCGGGATCAGCATGATAGTGCTGGAAGGGAGCTTAGAAACCGCTCATTTTACAGATGAGGAAACAGCTTCTGTGGCTTTTGAAGCTTCTGTATTTTTTTCAAGCACAGGCTTATTGCTTTCCATAGCTAAGGATATAATTTTGAGCCCGTGGATTCATTCTAACACCCACAGCCCTGTGCTTAAGCCAAGTTGTAGCGGGGCCTGGGTGCCCAAGGGTGGGAGCTCATAGTTGGCCTGCAGACAGTGAGGAAGAGGCCGATCTGCCAGGTTGACAAGGGTCTGAGAGAGCACACAGGACGTGTGTCGCCTCGCCCCACCTGAGCCAGCCCAGGTGTTCGCTTGTGGCCACAGGCTCTCTGGCTCTGGGTACTGTTGTTTTCCTTACCAGCTGTGTTTTACCCCTTCGCGAGCAGAGCTTACGAGAGGCAGCTGTGCCTTCTTAAAGCAGAACTGTAAAATGGGTTGGATATTTTCGCGGGTTTTTTTCCCTTTTTCTCTGCCAACATTATTCTAGGAATGCTTTAATTCTCCATATGGCACGAAATATTTTCCTGAATACGCTGAGAAAATTCCTGGTGAATCCACACAGAAGCTTTCTGAAGTAGCAAAGGAGTGCGGCGTATATCTCATTGGAGGTAACGTCCTGCCCTCAAGGTGTAGTGGCCTAAACATTAAAAACATCTGAACACTTTCTGTTACATTTAAACCATGGAATACAAACCATGTAAATTAGGCATTGAAAAGAATGTGGTGAGGGCACCTGGGTGGCACCTTCCGATTAGGTCATGATCTCGGGGTCTAGGGATGGAGCCCCTTCATCAGGCTCCCTGCTCAGCGGGAGCCTGATTCTCCCTCTCCCTCTGTGCTCACTCACTCGCTGTCTCTCAAATAAATAAATAAATAAATCTTTAAACAACAACAAAAAGAATGAGGTGGATGTTATGTAATAATGTGGAAAAGTGTTCAAGACACACTGTTACATGGAAGAAGCAAGTATAATACGACATGAACAGGTACTCCCATTCAGATTAATGCCTCACACAAAAGGTTATATATTTTTTTTCTGTCTTTATATATGTAGCACATGGTAAATATTGTATAAGGACACACCAAACTGATTTTTCCTGGAGAAGCAATGGGAATACAGAGGCAGGTGGAAATGTGGAAAGAAAAACCGCATTGGAGTGTCTTTCATTATACTAATACAACATTAAGAAATTTGTTTTTTCACAAAGAGGCCATATACATCAAGGTAGCTTTATAAACGTGGTTTTGAAAGAAGTGTGATTTTGAAATGCATTTAAGATTTTTAAAAATTTTTTTAAAAGAATTTATTTATTTGAGAGCGAGCGAGAGTGAGCGTATAAGCGGGGTGAAGGGCAGAGGGAGAAACAGACTCTCTGCTGAGCAGGGAGCCCATTGCAGGGCTTGATCCCGGGACTCCGGGATCATGACCTGAGCCGAAGGCAGACGCTTAACCGACTGAGCCACCCAGGTGCCCCTTGAAATGCATTTTAAAATGCTCTATTTGCTTAAAGAAAAAATACAGTAAAACTGTTTAATATAGCAAAATTATTCTGTTATATTAAGAATTAGAAATGAATGAGAGGTGAAGAAAAGACAAAGCAAGAAAAGAGAGAAATGCAGGAACTACATTCAGTGGTGTCAGGATTGGCTTACATTCCCATCTTGAGGCCTTTTTGGATACAGTTATGTTGCAGGACCTGGTGAATTTAAGTTGAGCAACAGTGAATCCTCCATGTTGCTCTAGTGTTATAGATTAAGTGTAGCTCAAGATCAAAGCCGAATTCAGAAACAGTTTGGTTATTCTTGAGACCTGTCTTTGGCATCTGACTTAATTATATTTCATCTATACTCTGAAGTTTATCTCTGAAAGATCGTCCTCAAGAAGACAAAAAGAACCATTAATAACCCTTAGAAGATAGTATACTTTATTCCTGGACCCAAGAGACAGTTTATCAAGTGTTTGTCCAGTGATCATAAAAGAATGCTTTATTCAGAATATTTTCTTTGCCTGTGTGTTTCTCCTCTCATGAAAGGTTCCATTCCTGAAGAGGATGCTGGGAAATTATATAACACCTGTGCCGTGTTTGGGCCTGATGGCACTTTACTGGTAAAGTACAGAAAGGTAAGCAGGGAATGTTGCAAGTCTCATCACCTCTTGAGAATTTGCTCTAATGTTCTGTAGTCTCTCTCATCATATTGCACACACATGGGGCATTAGATGAATTGGTATAGTCAACTTGTCGAATCTTGGCTGTTGACATTTTGATATAAATTTTAGACTTAGCCTGTCAATTTCAGCAAAGGAAAAATCTACAGGAATTTTGATTAGAATTGCATTGAATATAGAGAGGTCACTTTGGGGAGAGTTGACATCTTTGCTGTAGTAAATGCATACATATTGAGAATTGTTAAATATTCCTGGTAAATTGGTCCTTTTGGCAGACGCCTGGGTGGCTCAGTCGTTAAGCGTCTGCGTTTGGCTCGGGTCATGATCCCAGGGTCCTGGGATCGAGTCTCGCATCGGGCTCCCTGCTCGGCGGGAAGCCTGCTTCTCCCTCTCCCACTCCCCCTGCTTGTGTTCCCGCTCTCGCTATCTCTCTCTCTGTCAAATAAATAAATAAAATCTTAAAAAAAAAAAAAATTGGTCCTTTTGGCATTATGAAATACATTTTTTTTTCTCATAATACTCTTTGTCTTGAAGTTTATTTTTTCTCTGATATTGCTATGGCCACTCTAGGCTTCTAATACTTAGTGTTGTATAATACATCTTTTTCTAATTCCCTATTTTCAACCTGTATGTGTCTTTATATTTAAAATGATTCTCCTATAGATAGCCTGCAGTTGGGTCTTGTTACTGTCTTCATTCTGACAACCTCTGCCTTTTAACTGGAGTGCTTACTCCACTTATATTTAATGTAATTATTGGTACGGTTGGATTTAGGCATGAGACATTTTACTGTTTTTTTCCCTTTGTTCCTCTTTCCTGCATTCTTTTGGCTTAGTTGAGTATTTTTTAGAATTCCATTTTAATTTTTTTTTTTCATTTTAATTTTTCTATTGGCTTTTAGCTATATACATCTTTGCTTTTTTTTAAGTGTTGCCCTAGGGATTACAACATGCACCCTATCTTTTTGCAGTCTCCTTAGAATTAATATTATACTGCTTCATATGAAATTTAAGAGCTTCCCAATTGTATCATTTCCTTCCCCACCCCATTTTCTGTTATAGTTGACATACATGTTGCATCTACATATATTATAAATCCCACAAAACACTAAGTTTTTAAGTAATGTGTATTTTATTTATTTATTTATTTTTTTTTTTAAGATTTTATTTATTTATTTGACAGAGAGAGACACAGCGAGAGAGGGAACACAAGCAGGGGGAATGGGAGAGGGAGAAGCAGGCTCCCTGCAGAGCAGGGAGCCCGACGCAGGACTCGATCCCAGGACCCTGGGATCATGACCTGAGCTGAAGGCAGTCGCTTAACCAACTGAGCCACCCAGGCGCCCAAGTAATGTGTATTTTAAAGAAAGATAAAAATATTTTGTTTACTAAAATGTTTACCTTTTTGGTATTTTTCTTTCTAAAGAGCATAGTTCTATCTGGTATCTTTGCCTTCAAACAGAAAGACCTTCTTTAGAATTTTTCTAGTGAGGATGTGCCAGGTAGGAATTCCTTTAGTTTTTGTTTATGAATATATCTTTATTTTGTCTTCATTGTTGAAAGATACTTTTGCTGGAATAGAATTCTGGGTTGACCATTTTCTTTTGTCTCCTAGAAATTTGAGCGATGTTTTCGGGTATCTTCTAGCCTCTTTTAAAATTTTTTCTGATAAAAAGTCAGTGGTGATTTGTATTGTTCTCCTGTATGTAATTCATGTTTTTTTCTGTCTGCCTTCAAAATTTTTTTCATAATCTTTAGTTCTCAGTGTTCTGACTCTGATGTGCCTGCCTAGATATGGTTTTCTTTATATTTGTCCTGCTTTGTGCTTCTTTAATCTGTAAATTTAACTCTTTCATTATATTGGGGGCATTATTTTGATAAATATTTTTCTGTTCCATTCTCTTCTTATTGGACTTCAATTTTGATACAGTTCCACCAAACCAGGTCACCAAGACTCTGGTTTTTTGTTTTTCCCACCTTTTTTCTCTTCTTCAGTCTTCTTCAGTGTGGACACTTCACATTGATCTGTTTTTAAGTTCACAGAATCTTTTTTCTGTAAGCCCCAGTCTCCCGTATGCCAATCCAGTGAAATCTTTTAAAATTTCACATAAACTTTTATTTTTCTACTGGTATTTCCTATATGTCCATTCATTGAGAGTGTATTTTTCTTTAGACCTTTGAGCTTAGTTTCAATAGCTACTTTGTGGTAATTATCACATCTGGTCTAGTTGGGGTCTCCTTCATTGATTGCCTTTTATTTATTTTTTATTTTTTATTTTTTTTAAGATTTTATTTATTTGACAGAGAGGGAGAGGGAGAGAGAGCACAAGCAGGGGGAGCAGCAGAGGGAGAGGGAGAAGCAGGCTTCCCGCTGAGCGGGGAGCCTGATGCACGGGGCTCGATCCCAGGCCCCTGGGATCATGACCTGAGCCGAAGGCAGACGCTTAACAACTGAGCTACCCAGGTGCCCCTGATTGCCTTTTCTTTAAAGTTGGGTAACATTTTCTTGTTTCTTTGTCAAGTAATTTTGAATTACATATTGGATTATATGTTGTTGAGATTCTAGCTTCTATTACTCTGAAAAATGTTGTATTTTTTTGTTTTAGTAAGTAGTTAACTTGGTTGTACTCAAACACCATACTGTTTTTCCTTTGGGAGTGGGCAGCAACTTCAGCTGCTCTGTTCTAAGTCATTTAGCTTTAGCTGGGCTGCCTGGAGTCTGCCCTACACATCTTTAATTCAGTACTTAGCAAGAGATTTGGACAGATTTTCATATGTAGAACTTAGGGCTCTTCCTCTTGGGCTTCCTCCTTTGCAGGATTTCTCCCTCACTTTTCCAGCTGCTGTGAAACTCTGTCCTCTGGTTCCTCGGGCCAGGATTGTTATAGGTGATTTTTATCACCACTCCCAGCAACAACTGGGATCCTGCTTCCAACTAAAAGGTGTAAACAGGAAATTCACCTTGTCTTATTCCTGATCTCAGTATGAAAAAGCTTTTACTATTTCACCATTAAGTATGATGTTCCTTCCTTTTTTTTCTTTTTTCAGATACTCTATCAAATTAAGGGAGTTCCCTTCTTAGAAGAGTTTTTTTCTTTTGTTTTTAAAATAAGAATGAATGTAGAAGTTTACCAGATGCTCACCATGCACTTCTTAAGATGATCATATGACTTTTCTCCTTTATTTTGTTAGTGTGGTAAATTACGTTGATTGATTTCCTTGAATAAATCCAATTTGCTTCTGTTTGCTTTCCTTGAATAAATCGAATTTCGAAGTGATATGTTACTCTTTTTATATATTGCTGCATTTAGTTTGGAAAATTTTACCTATTTTTAATTGCTCTCCCGCTCTCCACCTCTCCTGCCAGTTTGTCAGGTTGATTATCAGTCTGTGAAGACTTCACTTAGCATTTATACTGAATAAAAGAATAACATGTTAATTGCTTCCCAAAAGAAACCTAGACAGTCAGCTTGCACACCACGTAGGAAAGAAGTGTCATAAAGCCTACAGCATGATTTTCCCGTTTTGCATATTAGAACTCACTTTGATAAGATGTCAGCTTGTGGGGTGGGTTGTGTGGGGGTTGCTGTTTGTGTAGTTAATCTCAGAGCATCCCAGTTTCCGGCCATGGAAAGATGTTTGCTATGATTGCCGTGACCCTGCTGGAGAAGAGGTAACCAAATTCATTGCTTGTGGTGCAGCTCCATCTGTTTGACATTGATGTTCCTGGGAAAATTACATTTCAAGAATCTAAAACGCTGAGTCCTGGTGATAGTTTCTCCACATTTGATACTCGTAAGTACCAGACATGTTCACCTGTTTTAGTAGTATCAGTAGAAGAGGATCAGGTGTTCTCTTTTTTTTTTTCCCTCGTATGTCCCTCCCCCACTTCTTTACATACCCAGACTGCAACACCAGAAGTGAGACGGGTGGAGAATGGTCAGAGATCTAGAAAGGGCGGGCTGAACAGAGAACAAAGGGTTTGACCTGATTTTGCTCTACCATTTGGTCACAGCATGGTATTAGCATGATTGCTTCCAGAGTTTATCTCTTAGGCCGTGATTGAACACCTCCCACACAGATAATAAGCATTCAGTTAGAATGAATTTCTCATTTCTTTTTTTTTTTTTAAAGATTTTATTTATTTATTTGAGAGAGAGAGAATGAGAGACAGAGAGCATGAGAGGGAGGAGAGTCAGAGGGAGAAGCAGACTCCCTGCTGAGCGGGGAGCCTGATGTGGGACTCGATCCTGGGACTCCAGGATCATGACCTGAGCTGAAGGCAGTCGCTTAACCAACTGAGCCACCCGGGCGCCCCGAATTTCTCATTTCTAATCTGAGATAAATGATGTCTTTATGAGGGAAAATCCAAGCAGGAATAAGCTTATACTTCTCCATCCATGGCCCGGGGTTAATGTATTGCCATCAGTGTTTTGAGATCTTACATGGAGGCTTTACTCTGCCGCACCGTGTTTCGAAAGGTTAACTTTTCATTTGTGCATTTTCTGTTTGAAAAACAGCTTACTGCAGAGTGGGCCTGGGCATTTGCTACGACCTGCGCTTTGCAGAGCTCGCACAGATCTACGCCCAGAGAGGTGAGATGGCACCACGACTCTGTGGTGTAGGTGCTTAGAGATTTGATTTTGGCTTGGTCTTTGTGTGTCGAGGGAGCCCTTAGGCAGAAAAACTGGAGAAGAGGTCTTAATCTCTCCACCCCATCTGATTCCTCAGACTTTTGCTGTATATGGACAGTATGGTTTTTCAGAGATTGTATTTCAATACACCGTGCAGCGAAGGCAGGAACCGTGCTCCTAAATCTGCTCTATTCTTTGAGCCCTTCTTGCTACCATGTTTGGAAAGAGTCACATGGAGCCCACTAAAAATAAGGATGTGGTCTAGGGTGTCTGTCATGGATTTCACACTCAGTAGTCCTAGATGTTGGGTACAGTAGAAATATAGTCTGTGACTTTTTGGTCCAGAGACGAAATGTCCTACTGGCCTAGAAGAACACTGAGCCAAGTCAGAAGATCCGGGTTCTGCTTCCAACTCTCCTCCTTAATTGACGTGATACTTTGAGTAAATTATTTAATTTTTAGAGCTCTCTGGATCTCAGGTTTTTCATAGGCATAGTGTGTGGAGATTAAGGAGGGAGAACTTAGCTCTTCGTATGGTACTCAACAAATGTGAGCATCCCTGCCAGACTGTCCAAACTACTCTGATCCGGACTTGACTTTTCACTTAACAAAGTGGAGTGGGTGCAAACATTTTGATGGCCTGCTCAGCAAAAAAGGTGGACGTGCATGGGCTCTGGGTTGGCAGACCCTGTTGAGCTCTCTCAGTAAGCATTAGAGCACCTACTCTGCCCCCCATTTCACTTGAAAAGCATTAGTGAATGTGGTCCTTGGCCGTGCGGAGCTGACCATATGGTGCTGAGAGAAATTTGAATGATTTTTTTTTTTTTTAAGTGAAGTCACATACCGTGGTTTTGGCCATCAGTACCACTGTTTTTGAATGTATGTGTAGCATGTGTGTGTCTCTAAAGGAATTCAGAGCCATAACTTAATACTCCTGACAGTGTCCGGCTTGGCTGACATCTTTTCATGCTTGGGAAAGTTCGAGTTTGGTCCCCACTGGGTAAAGAACAGAATGGGGAGCTAGCGTGGTGGGGTGTTAACCTGGACCCACTCTTCTCTGGCCTTTCTCTCCCAAGGCTGTCAGCTGTTGGTGTATCCTGGAGCTTTTAATATGACCACTGGACCAGCCCACTGGGAGTTGCTTCAGCGAGGCCGGTAAGAAAGCCCCTCAGGCATACCTTCAGGTGTCTCAGTGTTGCTTTGTGAAAAGATTTCCAGTTTGGTGGAAGTACCAGCGTTCCTGACTCAGAATGCTGCCCCTGACCCAGCCTCCTTTGCCATCCAGATGCAGTCGGAAGAGATGAATCAGCCCGTTGACTGTGCTCTGCAGGTTGGGGTGCTTATCCCGCCCCCATCCTTTACGCCATTCTGCTCTTCCTGGAATACTCTGCCAAGACACTTGTTACAAGGTCTTGTTTTTCTAATCTGTAGTCCAAGGCATTGCACAGTGTCTTCGGCACGTCACAGTAGCTGTGTCCTGAGTCCCCTAAGGTTGGGAGTGAGCAGTGAAGGGCAGCTAGCAGAGGTGGATGTAACATGGAAGGGAAGAAGAGTGTGACTGTGTGTGTCTGTGTAAAGTGTGCTGAAAACCATGAAGTAGTGGTCAGAAATGCTGGTTTTCTTCATTACAGTTCTGTTAATTGAGGTATAATACACTTAAAGAGAAGTACACCAATTTTAAGTCTGTAGATCAGTGAGTTTTCTGCACGTGTATTCACCTGTGACCAAGGTCAACACGGAACACTTGCAATCTCTAGAATGCTCCCTTTTGTTCCTTCCACCAACCCTGTCCTTGTTTGCCCAGATGTAGCCGCTATTCTCACCTCTAAAAATGATGGTGATTTTTATCAGAGGAGGCAGCAGAGGTGTTTGGCTGGTTGCTTAGTGGAAGATGGGGTAGGGGCATCCGATACCATGTATGTTAATGAATGCAGTCTTGAAGAAAGCAGAAAAGCTTGAGAAACATTGGAATGGCCTGGCATGGATCCGCTGATTGAGCCCGGAGAGCTCCCAGGTGAGGTGGCTTGATGTACCCAGGCTGCCACCTGAAATTCTTATCTAATCTGAGCTGATGGGACTTCAGCCACTGGGGGCATGGAAGTCCCGTGCGGCCCTGCAAGGCGTATGGCCCCAGCAAGGCTGGTCCATTCTCTCTGGCCACCTTGACTTGCTCTTTTGTAGGTTAACAGGTTGGCTCAGGCCAGGGTGTCAACTGTGGTGGTGCTGACATTTTGGACTAGATCATTCTTTGCTGTGGGGGCTGTGCTGTGCATGGTAGGATGTTTAGCAGCATCCCTGGTCTCCATCTACTAGGGACCAGTAGCAACCTCCTATCACCAAAGTCAAAAAGTCAAAGTCAGTGTCTTTGGACATTGGCAAATGTCCCCACTGGGCAAAATCACCCCCAGTTGAGAACTGGTTTATGCATTGAGATACTTTTTGAAGAGAGGGTTTCATGGCTTTGGGTGTTTCCTTCCATGTCTGAGCCAGCCTACCCTGTCCTAGTTTTTAAAAGAAGGATCTGTACATTTGGAATAGAAAAATGTTGCCAATCTATAATGTATGAATTTTCTCTTTTTTGTCTGTTGACAACAGGGCTGTTGATAATCAGGTATATGTGGCCACAGCATCTCCTGCCCGGGATGATCAAGCCTCATATGTTGCCTGGGGACACAGCACTATTGTGAGTCCTTGGTGAGTTGGCTAAGCAGGGACAGGCTCCCCAGGAGCTTGAGAGAGGGGGCACTTGGGTGAGTGGGTTTTCTGATTCCCCACCAGCCCTGCCGCTCCCTCAAACCCCCATATCCTCACACGCCTGCCAGGTCTGCGCCTCGTCTGCGAGAGACCCTTCCACTTGAAAACCGTGTGAGAAAGAAGTGGCCCTGCTGTCCTGACTGAGTATTTGGCCTTAGCCCTCTTCTGAGTGGCTCTTGTTGTCAGTCGGACTTGGATCACATGGGGGAAACAGGCAACACTGATGATTTTAGTAAAGAGGGCTCCCAGACTCTTGGCTTTTGGTTAAAATTTAAGCTGGGTGACTGGTTCTAGAACAGGAATTAGTTACAGGGGGAGGATTTTGCTCCCTGGCTAATGAATAGAGGATGGGGGAGGATGGGTTCAATTAAGGGGAACTCTGCCCTTGACCTCTGTGACAGGGACAAGCCTCGTCCTAGTGAGGCCGGCACCAAAGTCCACCCAGCACGCAGTCATTTGTTATCGTACGCAGCTCCTGGGCTGTAGTTGTGCGGTTTTCGTAGCACTTTTGCACACGTGGTCTCCATGTGAACTCAGAGACTTTTCCTAAATTGGGCTCCGTTTATAGATGGCAGAACTGAAGTTCATGGGACAAAGTGGTTAGGGCTGGTGTTTAGATTCAGAACTTTTGACTTCAGAACTTGGATTTATTCCATACCACTTCTCACATATTTGTATGATTACACACACACTGATGTGTATTTCTATAATTTCAGGGTAAATAGACCAGTAACAAGGCTGAGAAGGGTTATAGATCACTGTGGGTCCCTGAAGTTCTCTCTCCTGTTTTTATAGGACCCAAAGATTAAAGTGTGTGATAGGGGAAGGCCTTGGAAGATATGACCAGGGAGCCTCGTGCACATTAGATTTGGGAGGCATTGGCAGGGTGGAAGGATTAACTGGCTTGAAGATTTTCTCCAACTTGGTTCGAGTTCCTCTGTCCAGATGTTGGTGATAGGCTTCCTGGCCTCTTGGGCAGCTCTGCTCCCTGCTGGTTCTCCCGATGAACCTTGTTACTGAGCAAGCTGGCTGCTTCTGAGACAAAGTAGTTGTACATGATTTATCTTTATTGGTTCCTTTTCAAAATTCTGTCTGTAGGATTTGCGGGGCCTTCTGGCTTATATTGACATCAGGATGGGTGCCTGGGGTTACCCCAGAGAGAGATCTTTGAATGCCAGGGCAAATGGGGAGGAAATAGAAAAGAATAAGAAGAATTTGGTTAAATGGCATTAATGATGATGTTTGTAGCTCACTGGTGCCAGGAATTTGTCTGTGGCCATCTGGGAAATGGAACCATTTACTTTGTCAGATTTTTTGTTGGGTCAGATTATTTTGTGTTTTGGAGAAATTTCATTTCGATAGATGTCTTTGAAGTCCTGCTTTGGGCTAAGAAACTCAGGACTGGAAGGTTTTCCAGATCAGCCTTTCCCCAGATTTAGGCAGGAGGAGTGTTGCTATTTCTAAGCCTGGGGTTCCTCTCCCGTTGGGGTGTGGTTTCCCCACCACTTCTTTCCTTCAAAAAACTGAAACCCGATAACAAGATACCAGGGGCCACAAGCATGAGACCAGAGACCTAGGCAGCGCTGGGCTCTGTTCAGGCCCAGCCTCTCTGTCCGCAGCCTTGGAAGGCGCAAAGAGCCAGCCCACCCTCCCGAAAGGGTCTTACTATCGCACTCATGAAGTGACAGGACGGAGCTTCCCGATCTTTACAGGGAGCTCTATTCCTGGAGGTTTATAATCGTGGAATAACTACCATTTCCTAGCAGTTGGCAGTTTACAAAACCTACTACATAGTCTTCTCAGTCTTCACAGAGCTCTTGTTTCCACTTTATAGGTTAGGGAATGAGCTTGCAGATGACTCGCCACAAGGCCACACAGCTACTTAAGTGGTGGAGCAGGAATGTATGCCCCTCCCTTCCTGTCTTCAGTCTCCCAATGCCTTTCCCTGGGGCCCTGAGGTGGGAGGAGAGCAGGGATGTTAGTACCCACTCCCTCCCTCCGGAATGTCTTTCAGGGGGGAGGTCCTTGCCAAAGCCGGCACCGAGGAGACGGTCGTGTGTTCAGACATAGGTAAGGTTTGTCGTTGGCACAGCTTAGGTCCGTGGTGTCCCCATCGGTCTGGGGTGATTCCGCAGCTCTGAAGCTAATGTCCCCTGGAGGGGCTCCCTTGGGCCCCCCTTCTCGTTTATCCCCCTTCTCGTTTATCCTTAGGGGACCTAAGGATAACAAGCCCCGGGGGCTGTCTCTCAGCTTGAGTTTTCTTGGTTTGGTTTGAAATGACCCCAGGGATGGTGCCAGGCCACCTGGGCCTCCGGACAAGGCTGATATTACTGAGTTACTTGCTGAGATTCTGGTGGGTTTTATACTGTTTGTGGAAGAAATCCTCATTGGTTAGTGAGGAGTTACGTCTTAGTAATGGTACACTTTCCTGTTTTTGCAGACCTGAAGAAGTTGGCTGAAATACGCCAGCAAATCCCCATTTTTAGCCAGAAGCGATCAGACCTCTATGCAGTGGAGGCGAAAAAGCCCTAAGGTTTATGTTTCTAACATGTCACGAAACAGGAGGATATGTTTCTGCAACGTAATCCATTCCCTGCTGAATTCTTTAAAGAGATCTTTTTTTTTTTTTTTTTTTTTTTTTTTAATTTCAGCTTTTTCCCCTTCCTGGGAACTTTCTAATGAGATGATGGAGCATCAGCACATGGTATTTTTCACACCATATTAAATAGTTAAAAAGGACTCAGGCTGGCATTGAGAGCAGAAGGAAGAGGGGATGACTATATACCTCCCATACTAAGTTGCCTCATAGTAGTTGGTACAAGTATCAGACCTTGGTATCTAGGTTGATTCACCTGCTACAAATACATTTGTGTCACACACCTCTCATCTCATTGCTGGAGTTGGAACCCATTATGTAGAAACTTGGTCTGGTGCTACAGTTTTTTGGAGCAGGATGTTAAAGTTACATTTTTAGTCTGTGAGTAGCTATGGGAAGCAAGGTGATGGACGCTTGGTGTTTGCTAGAGGAGATGGCAGCCCCAGTCCTTCCTAGCAGCCTGGAGGTTCTTCAGATTCAAGGAGGAGCTCATGAATCAAGCCCAGACCCTCCTGGTCTTAGGGGAGAGGCTGTGTCAACAGTGAGTCCTATGGGAGAATGACTGGTGGCATTTGGTCAAGGCACCCAAAGATGAGTCTCTGCAAAAGATTTTCTTGATGGGGTGAGTGTCTGAAAATCTTTTTCTTTTTGTTTTTCTCCCTAGTAACACTTTCTAGCTTGATAAAGGCAAATTTTTAGCCTAGTGGTTTTCAGAATCCTTTTGCACCATTAAAAATTAAGAATTCCAATGAACTTTATTTTTATGTATGTTATATGTTGGGCTGGTAAAACGTTTAACAAGCAGCTGTCCCCAAAACCCTGATTTTGCAGTAGCATTTGCCAGTTTCCATGGTGTAAATACTTGCACTGTGGCCAAGGCTCAGACTGTCAGTATGACATCTCTAAACAGAGTTGGAAATACGCGCAGTTAGCACTCGTGAGCTGGAGCGGTCCCACACTAGCACACCACTGTTTACGTATATATTTACCATCCTGGAAAATAAAACAAAATTTTAAAACAAAAGAATGCATGGGCACACATTTTATTAGCTATAAGAGTGATGACATCATCATGTCATTTAACCTTTGGAAACCAGCATTGTATACTCAGAGGAATACAAGAATGAAAAAGGTAAATGACATTTTAAAATTAAGTATACAATTTGGTAAAATCGGACACATGTATACATCCATGAAACCACTCTAATCAAGGTAATGAACAACCCTCGCCTCCCGCCTCCCTGCAATTTTCTTGTGTTCTTGTATAATCCCCTCTAGCTACCCTTCTCACCCCCAGGCAGTCACTGATCAGCTTTGTCACTGTAGATAGGTTTGAATTTTCTGTAATTACCTAAAAGTGGAATCATACCTAATGTGTATACTTTTCTGTCTTCTTTCACTCATCATGATTATTTGGAGACTCATCCCTGTGTGTGTCACTCATTTCTTTTTTATTGCTGAGGGGTAGACCATTATATGGATATACCATAATTTGATAGACATTTGAGTTTCCAGTTTTTGGCTATTAGAAATAAAGCTGCTAAAAACATTTTGTACAAGTTGTTCGTTTTTCTTTTCTTTTTTTTTTTTTTTAAAGATTTTATTTATTTGAGAGAGAGAATGAGAGAGAGCACATGAGAAGGGGGAGGGTCAGAGGGAGAAGCAGACTCCCCGCCCAGCAGGGAGCCCGATGCGGGACTCGATCCCGGGACTCCAGGATCATGACCTGAGCCGAAGGCAGTCGCTTAACCAACTGAGCCACCCAGGCGCCCCCAAGTTGTTTGTTTTCTTGAGTAGTTATCTAGGAGTGGAATGGTGGGGTCCTATGTGTATTTCACTGCCAAACTGTTCTCCAAAGTGACTGCCATTTTACTTCATCACCATCAGTCTGTCAGTGTCCCAGGTGCTCCACATTCTCACCAATATTTGGTATGATGACTGTTTAAGTTTAGCCATTTTAATGTGTGTGTAAGGTTATTTCATTGTGGTTTTTTTGCTTTGTATTTCCCTAATGACTAATAATGCTGAGCATCTTTTCATGTGCTTTGCTATCTGAGTATCCCTTTTGGTGAAATGTCTTTTCATAGCTTTTCCCCATATTTTTGTTGGGTGTTTATCCTCCTATTGATTAGTAAGAGTTCTTTCTATACTCAAGATAAAAATCCTCTGTCAGATATTATGTTTTGCAAATATATTCTCCAAGTCTGAGAAAAAAAAATGTCTTTTCATTTTTTAAAAAGTATTGTTTAAAGCAGTTTTTAATTACCATGAAGGCCAGTTAATTGCTTTTTCTTCTTTTAAAAGTTTGTCTTTTTTATGTTGTGTTTAAGAAATTGCCAAACCTGATGTCACTAACTTTATCCGGTGTTTTCTTTTGGAAGTTTTACAGTTTTAGCTCTTATATTGAGGTCTCGGATCCATTTTGAATGGTCAATTTTCTATATATGGTGTGAGGTAAGAGTCAAGATGCTTTTTGGGGCACCTGGGTGGCACCATTGGTTGAGCATCTGACTCTGGGTTTCGGCTCAGGTCATGATTTCAGGGTCCTGGAATCGAGCCCCGTGTCAGGCTCTGCACTCAGCATGGAGTCTACTTGAGATTCTCTCCCTCTGCAACTCCCGCTGGTGCTGTCTCTCTCTCTCTCTCTTTCTAAAATAAATAAATAAAATCTTAAAAAAAATGAGTCAAGATTCTTTTCTTTTTTTTTTTTTAGCCTAAGGTTATCTGTTTGTTCCAGCACATTTGTTGAAAAGCTTACCCTATTCCCATTGAATTGCCTTGGCACCTTTATGAAAAATGAAGTGGCTGTATATATCTTGATCTACCTCTGTGTTCTCTTTCATCACTGTATTCATCTGTTTTTACAGAGTAACTTACTGTGTTGATTATTGTAGCTTTATAATATTAAAGTCTGGTGGTATTAGTCCTCCAGCCTTTTTCAAAATTGTTTTGGTTATTCTAAGCCCTTTGTATTTCCACATAAATTCCAGAATCAGGTTGTAAATTTCTATAGAAAAAAAGCCTGCTGGGATCTTGATTAGGATTGCATTGACTCTATAGAGCAGTTTGGTGGAAAATTGACATCTTAATATCAAACCTGTGAATGTGAGATATGTCCTCAGTTATTTAGGCCTTTAATTTCTCTTAGCATGTTTGTTTGCTTCTGTAAAGGTAATACATATCTTTTGTCAGATTTATCCGTAGAGGCTACAGATTTTTTTGATGCTGTAGTATTGTTTTGTAAACTTTAATTTCCAATTTTTCACTGCTAGTAAAAATAAAATTTATTCCTGTATTTGATCTTATATCTTGCAACCTCACTAAACTCACTTACTCTAGCAGCTTTTTTGGGGTAGAGTCCATATGGTTTTTTACATAGATGATCATGTCTGCAAATAAAGACATTTTGTAAAATAAATACGCTTTTTCCTTTCCAATCTGGTTCCTGTTTGTTCATTTATTCATTCATTCATTCATTTTTGGCCTGTGGCATTGGCTAGAAGTTCTAGAACAGTGTTGAATAGAAGTAGTGAGTGGACTTAAGTTGTGTTGGTCCTGATCTTAGAGAAAAAAATTTAGCCTTTCATAGATGCCCTCTATTACATTGGGGAAATTCCTTTTTATTCCTAGTTTGGTGAGAGTTTTTATCAGGATAGGATGCTGGGTTTTTTTAGATTCCTTTTCAGTCTTTATTGAGACAAACATGTCTTTTTTTTCTTCTTTAGGCTATTTATATTGTGAATTACATTGATTGATTTTGGAGTTATAAAACCAACCTTTCATTCTTGGGATAAACTTCACTTGACCATAATGAATTATTGTTGGATTTGATTTGCTAACATTTGAATTTTTGCATCTGTGTTCATAAGGGAGTTTGGTCTGTAGTTTCCTTGTAATATCTCTTTCTGGTTTAGGTATCAGGATCTGCTGCCTCCTAAAATGACTTGGAAAGTGAGGTGCCTGGGTAGTGCAGTCAGTTGGGCATCTGACTCTTGGTTTTGGCTCAGGTTGTGATCTCAGGGTCAGATCGGGCCACATATGGGCCTCTGCACGTGGCAGGGAGAAGCTTGGGACTCTCTTTCTCCTCTCCCTCTGTCCCTTCCCCTCATACTCTCTCTCAAATAAATAAATCTTTAGAACATTTTAAAAAAATGACTTGGAAAGTATTTCCTTCTCTTCAGTGGTCTGAGAGAGTTGTGTGGTAATTTGCATCTTGTCTCTTGATTTTGATTATTCTTGTTGGAGGTTTATCAATTTTATTGAACTTTTCATAGAACCATATTTTGATTCCATTGTTTTTTTTTAAATCTCTTTTTTAGATTTGATTTCATTGATTTCTGCTTATTTATTTTCTTCTGCTTACTTTGTGTTTCATTTGCTCTTATTTTTTCTAGTTTCTTAAAGTGTGTACTGAATATCTTTGATTGGAGACTTTTCCTTCTTTCCAGTATAGGCCTTTAGTGGTATAAATGGCACAGGATTGCTTTAATTGCATCCCCAACCTTTGATACGTTGTGTTTTCCTTGTCATTCAATTTAAAATCCTAACTTCTCTTTGTCATCTTCTGTGATCCAAGCGTTATGTTATTTAGTTTCTAAATATTTGGAGATTTTCCAAATCTTTCTGTTACTGATTTCTAAATTGATTCCACTGTGGCCAAATAACATACTTTTATAATTTGAGTCGTATTAAATTTATTGAGACTGTTTATGGGCCAGAGTATGCTCTATCTTAGTAAGTGTTCCATGTGCAGGTGGAAAGAATGTATATTTTGCTGTTTAGGTATTCTATAAATGTCAATTAGGTCACATTGGGTGATAATGTTTTTAGTCTTTTATATCTATCGATTTTCTAATTTTCCGATCAATTAACAGGGGTGTTGATAGCTCTGATTATAATTGTGGATTTGTTTATCATTATACTGCTATCAGTTTTTGCTTCATGTTTTTTGAAGCTCTCTTATTAGGTGCATCAATATTTAGGGCTGTTACATCATCTTGCTGAATAGACCCTTTTTCCATTATGAAGCAAGTATCTATTTTTTGCCCTAAAGTGACTTTGTCTGATATTAATAATGCCAGTCTTTCTTTTGATTAGTATTAACATGATTTATCTTTTTCCATTTTTCCTTTTAATTTTAACCTCTTTGTGTCTTCAGGATGGTTGGTTTGTTATTTATTTTAGAGAAAAAGAGCGAATGGGATGGGGGAGAGGCAGAGGGAGAGGGAGAGAGAATCTCAAGCAGGCTCCACACACAGCACAGAGCCCAATGCGGGGCTTGATCCCATGACCCTGAGATTATGACCTTAGCTGAAATAAAGAGTCGGATGCTTAACCAGCTGAGCCACCGAGGTGCCCCATGTGTCTTCATGTTTAAAGTGGGTTTCTGTTAAGCAGCATATAGCTTGGTCATGCATTTTTATCTAGTTTGACAATTTCTTAATTGGGGTGTTTAGGCCATTTACGGTCATTGTGATTACTGATATGGCTGGATTTAAATCTACCATCTTTTTATTTTGTATTTATCCCATTTGTTCTTTGTTTCCTTTTTCTTCCTATTCTTTCTCTTGGATTAAATACTCTTCTGTGGTATACTTTATCTCCTTTGTCGGATTATAAATCATAATTTTTTATTGTGTTATTTTACTTTTTGCTTTATGGTTTATAGTATATATTCTTAACGTCACAGTCAACCTTCAAGTATTATGTCAGTTGACATGTAAGAATCTTAAAGTAGTATACTTCATTTTATTCCTTTCTTTGTATTGTCATACACTGTACTTCAGCATATGTATGAACCCCACAATATATTGCTATTTTTGTTTTAAACACCCAGTAATCGTTTAAAGATACTTAAAAAGCAAGTAAACATCTTTTGTAGCCAACATATTACCATCTCTGGTACTCTTCATTAGAGTAGATCCTTTGTTTTTGTTTGAAGCACTTCCTTTAACATTTTAGGTAGCGTAGGTCTGCTGGTGATTTATTCTTTCAGCTTTTGTATATCTGAAAAGTTTTTATTATGCTTTCATTTTTTAAAATATATTTTTACTGATTATAGAATTCACCTTTTCTTTCCTTTGAGTACTTTAGATATGCTGCTACGCTGTATTCTGGCTTGCATTCCAGAGGCAAAGTGTACTGTCATTATTATCCTTTGTCCCTCTCTGTAATGTCTGTTTCTCCTCTGTGCTTTTAAGATTTTTCTCTTCATCATTAATTTTATAGAACTTGATTACGATGTGCTTTAATGCAGTTTTTTTTTTTTCCATGTGTCTTGTGCTTACGAGTTCTTTGTGATTTGTGCATCCTTGGTTTTATAATTTTCATCAGATTTAGAACATTATCAGCTAGGATTTCTTAAAGTGTTATGAACCCTTCCCTAATTATATATACATCAGGTTGCTTGAAATTGTCCCAACAATGATACTATTTTCGTCGTCCCCCCCCTACACACTGCCCTGGTATATTTTCTGTGTATTTCCTTTTTGCTAGTTTCTGTGTTTTGGTGTATGTTTTTTTTTTTTTTTTTTATCATTTTCTGCTATATCAGTGGCTATCTTTTCTTTGTCACTGTCAGGTGGTTCCTGACAGTGCTTTAGGTAGTTTCCTTATATCCATGTGCTGATCAATACTCAGCTGAAGATGTGAGCACAGCCCTTTGCAGATCTCTTGAGCTTCCTCTGTATGCAACTCTCTCCTCTCCCATACCTCTGCCCCGTGAACTCCTACCATCTTGGCTTCCCAGGGTTTCTAACTTAGCCTCCTCAATTCAGGGAGACTGTTCACCTGCAGCTGTGTTTTCACTCCCTGTGCTGCAAACTGGAAACTCTAGCTAGAGCAATTAGAGGATTCACCTCTTTTGTTTACCTTCTCTTGGATCACTGTCCTAAGGACTGGTATCTGAAAAATAGTTTCGTATGTGGTCTTTTTTTCTTCTTTTTTTTTCTTCCAGTTATTTCAGATGGGAAGGTAAATCTGATCCCTGTAACTCCATCTTGGCCACAACTAGAAGTTCCCAAATAACTTCTTAGTATTTTATAAAAATACTTTAAACCTCACAGATCCTTTTAAATGATGGAAGAACTTTTAGGTAACCATGGACTGTATTTTGAGAATCATTGCTCTGTATCCTAAGAGGCCCACAGACAAATATTTAAACTTCATAATTTTAGTGTGAAACTATTTTTTGGTAGATAATCTTGCAGTAAACCCTATATCTGAATGATCTGACTGATGTGGGTGTGGCGAGCCTAGGAGCCCTCTGCCTTGGATTCCCTTAGTCCCCAGACAACACTTTATGGTATTTCCTTCAAAGAACAGCTCAGAATAGTTTGAAAACTAGTGGATAAGGGGCGCCTGGGTGGCTCAGTCGGTTGAGCGACTGCCTTCGGCTCAGGTCACGATCCCGGAGTCCTGGGATCGAGTTCCGCATCGGGCTCCCGGCTCGGCGGGGAGCCTGCTTCTCCCTCTCCCACTCCCCGCCTCTCATGCTGATTCTCTCTCGCTTGTTCTCTAATAAATAAATAAATAAAATCTTTAAAAAAAAAAAAAAAAGAAAACTAGTGGATAAGCCATCCTAGCTATAGAAGGAAAGATACTTTACCTTTATGTGGCATTCCTATAACAGATAAAGCACATGGATGCTAGAACTTGTTTTTGTATTTCATTAAATGCATGTTGTCTTGTCCTTTTGCTGTTGTATTGGGTGAGCTTGCCTTCTGGTGCATTCGAAGACTATAAAATGAATGAATGAAGTAGGCATCTACATTAGTATGTAACATTTTATTCTCCTACAGTATGTGGTAACATGCCCCCTGATTCCACTTTTAAGAAAGTGATACCTGATCAAAATGAACCCTGGATTTGGTCCACTTGAAACAGTAGAATACTGCATTCAAGGCCATGAAAATGTTTTGGTCAAAGGTCATTCCTCTGTAATCCCTCACTTTTTGTTGAGTTAGGCAGTGATACTTTTTTGCATAATACTTTGAAGTTGGCTGTTAACATGTTGCAGTCTTTCTCCTGCAGTTCAAATAAGGCAGCACGTTTAACTAATTGAAGTGACTCCCTTACAGTGATGATGTCCTTTGTTGAAATAAGTCAGGATATGCAGGTAGTTATGAAAGTGTCACTCAACATTGGCCTAGCTATTTAAAGTTGAGAGCTAACAGATAGTGGGTTTTGCATTGGTTGCAAATGAGTAAATTACTAACATTACAGGGTTTAAACTGTTAGATTGTGACATCAAGTGGATGTTTAGGGAAGGACTTCTTGCTGCCACCAAAAGTTAAG